CACCTGTCCATCCCTCAGGCCTCCAAGGTGTCCCCGTGTCCTCACCTCTCTGATAGGTGCAAGAATTTTCAATCTGATCAGTCATACTTGTGAGGACAGAGTGGTGACTTTCAAGCTCCTTACCCCAAACCGAAAGGCCACGACTTTTTTTTAAGTTTATTTTGTATCCAGTAACTGATGAGTTAAGAGTCCTCAGAGGTGGACAGCTGATTCTCAGAACAGCATTAAAATTAGAAAATTTTATAAGCTCAACAGTTATATTTGTATTTTCCATTTCATTTTCTTAACACAGTCTCATAACAGGCAGGGTGACCATGAATTCTAAGGGGTGTGGAGTATATCCTTGTCTTTGTCTCCTGTCACACCTTCTCAGACTGTGGGTCAACTATTTTGTTGACCAGGATGTGGTCCTAAGTTCTTGGACATTACATTCTAGTGGAGAATCAGGACATAAATTAGAAAGAGATACAAAATAATTATGGGGAAAGGTATAGTGGGTGCCAGCTGTATGTTTTGCAGGCAAAGCCATTTCTGTGGAGTATGACAGTGTCTCTCTGCTCGGGAGAAAAGAGAACCCTTTACCGTGTTAGTCGTTTACAAAGACTGCTGATGTTCTCACAGGCAGAACCTCCTTCTTGCTCCAGGCTACTCCAAAGCCCTCATCATGTCTTCTCAGAAGAGTGCTCTAAGGGCCACAGGGGAGGTGGCTCTGAAAACCATCTTACTTCTGCAAGTGGGAGTTGGGGGTCTGGCCAATGTCATTCTCTTCTGCTATAACGTGTCTCCACTCTTGCTTGGCCACAGGCAGAGGCCGACACACGATTCACACCCACATGGCGCTGGTCAATCTCTTGGTGCTTCTGTCCACTGTGATTCCCCACGTGATGGCAGCTTTTGTGGTGAGGACCACGCTCCACCCCACCCCTAGTCCAGTCTTGGGTGTAAGCTTGTCTGTTACAATCACTGGGTGGCTCACAGCACCACCCTGTGCTCCACCTGTGTCCTGAGTACCTACCAGTTCTTCACACTCATTCTCATGAGAGTAGACTGGATGAAGCTCCGAGGAGCCGCCCCGGATTATTGGTCCTTCCTGCTGCATCTGCTAGGTGTTCGGGGTCTTAATGAAGGTCTGCATTCCCGTGACAGTCAGTGGTCCACAGGACATGGGAAATAATACTGATGCCTCTTTCTGCTGGTCCTTAGGGATCCTAGAGCCCCCGGGTCTGCTCTTGCATTGTTGACCTCACGGTTGAACTGGTAAATACATAGAAGTCAGCCTCTATACCACCCATGAATACTAATATCTAGTAATTGTTTACCAGTTATCCATTTTTATATTTTGTTATAAAAAATATACATAACATTTGATTTTGACCACATGTAAGTGTACAACTCAGTGGCATTAAACACACTCAGTGGCATAATCATCACTACTATCTATACCCAAGACTTCATCATTCCCAACAAAAAGTCGGTACCCATGAAGAGTTGACTCACCGGTCCTCTCTCCTCCCAGCCCCCGACATCCTCAATTCTACTTTCTTGTCTCTATGAATTTCCCTGCTCTAGGTACTTCATTTAAATGGGCTCATATAGTATTTTTCTGTGTCTGCCTTATCTAAGCATCATGTTTTCAAGGTTGTTCCACACTAGCATGTATCAAAATTTCATTTATTTTTATAGCTGAATATTCTTCCAGTCTATGTACGTACAACATTTTGTTTACTCATTTGTCTTTATTTAATCGTTTATTAACTGATGAACATGGGTTGTTTCCACCTTTTGACTACCGTCAATAACACGGCTGTGAATATGGATATACAAATATCTGTTGAGTCCCTGCTTTCAGTTTTTGAATACGTATCCAGGAGTGAAATTACTGTCACATCATAGTTGTATATTTAACATGTTGAGAAATCACGTTTCCCACAGCTGCTGAATCATTTTACATTGCCACCAGCCATGCACACGAGTTCCAGTTTGTCCCCATCTTCCAACCTGGTTATTTTCCTTTCTCCAACATCCATCTAGCAGGTGTGAAGTAGTGTCTCGTTGTGGTCTTGATCTGCATTTCTCCAATGACTAATGATGTTGAACATCTTCTCACACGCTAACTGGCAGTTTGTATATCTTTGGAAAAATGCCTATTCCTTTCGTTTCTGTATTGGCTCATTTTTGTTGGTTTGAGGAGTACTTTATATATTCTGAATACTGAATCCTTATAAGATCCTCAAACATGTTCTCCTTTCTATAGTTTGGTAGAATGCTGCAGTCAGCAGAGGCTGGCCCTTAGAGGACTGATGACCTGTCCCTGCAGGTGGGGCTGAGCATGCCAGCCAGGTAGAGGGGACCTCAGTGCCACCACGGTGCCATTTTTAACTTTCCTGTTTTATTCACATGCTCAAATCATCATGATTTTCTTCATGCTTCCCAGCCAGGAATCACATAATTATCATTCTCCAGGGGAAGGACTGTTAGGGGATACAGATGAAACCAGACCTGCTCAAGGATAATGACAGCTGTAGCAAACAAGGCTGTTTCCGAGGTGTGAGTGGGGTGATACTATTGTCTCTAATGTTCTGTGGTTGAAATTTAAAATGCATTAAAATTTGTATTTTAAAATGCCAGTGTTGTTTAGTGCTCTTTGAAATATTCTAACAGATATAAAATGAAGTGGATGAAATATAAAACTAAAGAATTAGCCCTAAAACTAGAACAAAAACATGAAGACATAATAAGAAACAAAAGACAGCAAAAGTACAATTTCTGCATGGAGAGCCTGTTGGAAACCCACAGGGAGTGTGTGGTTGTAGCAGGGTTGGGGATGGGTGGCAGGCACAAGTCCCACAAAGTACAAGGAGTTGCAGGAGCAACTTTTTTTAAAGAGCCAGATGGTCAATATATCAAGCTCATGGGCCACACGATTTCTGTGACACCTACTTAATGCTGCTTTTGCAGGTGGAAGGTTCCACAGGCAATATGAAAATGGGTGTGACTACGTTCCATTACTTCATTTACAAAAACAGGCGGCCAGCCCACAGGCCAGTCTGCTGACTGTGGTAGGACATTATGTGGTGGGCAGTGGTGGTTCCCCACCCCCCGGAACCATGAAAGGTGTGTCACACATATCAAAAGCATGAAAGGGGTGCTGAGACCGACGTGATGGGAAGGACGGCATTCAGGGACCCACCAGAGGACAGAGAAGCATCTGCAGAGAGAGTGAGTCTGAAAGTGCATTTCTTTTTTAAGGTAAATGTGAGGTGAAGGCAGAGGCTGGCTGAGAGAGGGGCAGTGTATGAGTGGATTTGTGAGAAAATCTGAGATGGGGTGAGACCGAGAACCTATGAGCATGAGTCGCCTGGTGAAGTCACTGCAAAAGCATGCACATGCATGTGAGAAGGTGCGTGTCTGTGGCTGGGTGTTGAGAGAACGTTCCAGGACATGTGTGAGAGAGAAGATGCAGGTGAGAGCAAGTGCAAGTGTGCACCAGCGCGTCCCCTGTGAGCACATCTGGCGCTAGTGGCCTGATTTCCCCAGTGCAGCCAGCAAGCCTCGCCCTGAGACCCTGCAGACCCACACGCTCTCTCAGGACTCAGCCGCCCGGCCCCACTGGAGGGAACGGCCTTGGGGGATGCCCGTCCACTTCAGCTGTCTGGGAAGACGCCCTGGTCGGAACCTCACCTGCAAGGCCCTTCCCAGCACCCCCAAAGGACTCAAGCATCTCAACTCTGCGCTCAACACCTGACCATAAGCCCTGGAGCTGTATGAGAAAATGACACGTACATACATGATGCGTACACAGTAGGAGTGAACCAGCAAGGCAAGAATGGTCATCTCTTCAACGTCCAGTGATGCACCACCCGGGTGCTCTGGCCACATGGCGGGTAGAAGAGGCTTAAGTGGTAGTTCCTGGTGAAAATGCTGCCTGGAATATTCTGGAAAGGCTAACGGAGGAGACATGGGATCTCAGAGCCGCTGTGCTCTCACATCAAGCAGAGGTTCCCACTAGAGCAGGCCGAAACAAGGTTCTGACTACCGTGCACGCTGCTGCTGGGGTCTGTTGTTTCGTTACTGCCTTCTCCACTATGACAAATGGGAAACTAAGAAAAGCCTCTTACCTTTCACCTCTCCACTACAATGAAGCACAGTACAAGCTTCTGAGGCAGCAGGTAACAAAACATGTACTCGATCCAGTGAGCAAGAATGTGACACGGTCTGGATGGGCCCTCTCCCTGCACTCGCCATGGCTGGACCCCACATCGGGCCAGTGTGGCCCCAGCTCTGCCCAGGGACGGCACCCCAGGCCCTGGCAATAGCCCCCCTACTCCCTTCTTGTGCCCCAAACTCCTCGTAACTCAGCAGACAGGGCACTGGCCACTGCCCTCTAGGTACCTTGAGTCCTGAACCTATTGACCCAAAATGGTGCCAGGCCCATCCCCACAGTAGCCCACAGCCAGCTTGAACAAACTCCCTATCATTGGCCTGCAGAGGGTGCCCACAGACTGTACACTGCCTGGCAGGAATGTCTGACTGCTGCCTCTGGCCACACAAGCCCATTCCCACTGCCATCCACCCAGAGATCAGTCTCCACGGCTGTTTATGGCTCACACGCTACCCCCTCACATTGGCCATCTGCCCTGACTGCCATGAAGGGTAGGGGGTGTGGCAGCATAGGCCATCCTGGTCAGTTTTGCTGCCCCTTCTGCTGTGACTCACTGCTCTGCACCTCCCTGTGCCCTTGCCCATGCCCAAAGTGTCTCCTGGGCCAGAACACAAACTGGCTGATCTCGGTGCCTGGACCGATCTTCACGAGTAACAGTGCCTAGGCCTGCACGGCTGCCACTCTGCCAGGGCTTGAGGGCCCATCCACCCAGCACAGCCCCACCAGGGCTCCAGAGGGTAAGGACATCAGGGCTTTTGGGAATGAGGTGTTGGCTACCACGCCCCAGGTCCCCAGTGAAGGGTCATGTGAGTCACTGATGGGAACTTGAGGAGCCACACCCATGAGAATTGCCATTTATTCCCACAGTTGCCGAAATAATCACCAAGGATTCACCGAGGATGTGGGGGGAGAAGGAGGCTCAAACACTGATTGAGGGGCCAGTCAGGAGTGGGGGGACGGGCACAGCTGTCCCCGTTCTAATGCCACAGGAAGGGGCCCTCCTCTGGCCAGCACCCTCCCCAAACCCCACATCCAGTTTCTCGGGACGCAGGTAGGGGATGTGGGGGCAGTGTAGTGTGAGTAGGCCCAGGAGGGGAGGGCGCTGGGGGTCCCCGCTTCACATGCACTCACGACACTGGTCTCCCAGGGAGCAGCAGTGGGAGCTGGGCTGGGCTGCCCCCCCTGCTCATAGGAGAAAGGGGTTAGTGCTGGGAGCTGGGGGACCTGGGGGCATCATGGGGGGCAGGCCCGGGCCCCCACCCAGGGGGGAGATGTATGTCGGTGGCGCCCCCGGGACCGGGGGCCCAGGGCTGAGCCGGAGCTGATTCAGGGTGAGCGTTGCAGGGGGCGCGGGCTGGAAGGGGTTGGTGACGGAGGGACCAGTGGCCGGGGCTCCTGCAGAGAGAGGACAGAGATGCACAGAGCAATCAGGAGGGTCTGCCCAGGAGATCACTGGCGGGGCCGGTGTCCCTGCCCTGGGGGCCACACTCACCACTTGGCAGGAAGGGGTTGGAGGCCTTGGCTCCTTGTGGCGTGGGGCCCGGCCGGCTCACCAGCGAATCCAGGTCGACGAGGGCCGCGTTAGGCCCCAGGAACGACTCAGGCGTCTTCCGCGTAGGTGGCGTGGGGGCTGGGGCAGCTGCGGGCGGGGGGCTCCCCACAGCCTCAGCCAGAGAGCCCCCGACCCCACTCATGTCGAACGCCCCGGGACTGCGGGCGGGCACCTCTCCAGCCAGCAGCTCCAGCTCCCCTGGAGGGGCAGAGGGACTCAGAGGAAAGACGGGTGGCAGGGTCTTGGAAAGGAGGTGACGGTACCAGGTAGCAGAGCCCGGGGCCAAAACCTGGAGGGCCTAAGGCCGAGGGACAAAGGTCGCAGGAAAACTGACAAGCTCCAGAGCAGTGACTGGGAAAACTACTCCGACAGAACCCAGCAGATGGAGGGCAGATGGGCCTGCTTACGGGGCGGCCAGCTCCACATGCCTCACCAGCCCACAGTCCAGACAACAGTGCATGGTGGGGAAACCGCAAGTGACCCCAAGGGGCTGGGTGACATTTGTTAGTCTGAGACCTAATTTTTGAAAAAATTAATTTAAGACTCCTCTCTTAATGTAGAAAAAAGAATGCACAAATTTGTGTGAACAAAAAAGACTGGGAATGTGCTCACTTCGGCAGCACATACTAAAATCAGAATGACACAGAAAGATTAGCACCGCCCCTGCACAAGGATGACACACGTAACATGGCATAGACAAAAACATCTGCAGTCTGCAATGCACTCAAAGGAACATTCCAGGATGACAGAGAGATCGGAGTTAGCATCTGGGGAACCTCAACCAAGTGAATTCTTTGTACCATTTTTACAACTTTTTTTGAAATTATTTCAAAATGAAGTTAAAAACGCCTTTTTGAAGACGAGGAGTGATCAATTATACCTCAATAAAGTTGTTTGAAAAAAAGATGGACCCAACCCAGAGCTGCTTTCATCTCGCTCAATGGACCCATGGAGCGGGGTCTCTCAGACACCAGTGTGGGGGCCAGGTGGGAGCAGGCGGGGGCAGGCTCACCTGTGCTGCTCCCTGAGGTCGGTAGGGCTGTGCGCAACCGGTCAAAGTCAGAGAACTCGTCAGGCTCTGTGTCAAAGCCCCCGACCACTGTGGGCGGGGCGGGGGGGGGGTGGTCAGGGTATCCACTCAGCTCCTTCAGGGGCTTGCCTCCACCCCCAACGCCTGGTACTCATGAGACAAGACTCGTCCCTCATGACTCAGCGCCCACCGAGTACCTGTGGTGCCATTAGTGCTGGGCTTGGCAGGTGACCCCCCCCAGGGGTCTGAGAAGGCCGGGGCCCAGGGATCGGAGACCAAGGGTCCACTGGTCGGGGCCCCACCTGGGTGAAGGAGGAGGCACATGAGGCGCTGGGCTCTACCTGCCTGGCAAGTGGCAGTCTGTCTCCTCTGAAATCTGACTGTTCCCAAGCAAGAGCCCCACTCCAGCCCCCACCACTCAGAAGCACCCCCAGTTCCCCCAAGCCCAACCCTCCCCTCATCACAGTCCAGCCCTGGGCGCTCACATAGCCTGGCCTTTGCCCATGTGTCCCCTCCTGGCTAAGTCCTCAGCCCTGAGGACTCTACAATGCCCCCAGGAAGCCTCCAGCCAAGATGAAAGGACGGATGTGCTCCAGCCCTGCCCTCCCACCCTGGTGAAGCCCCCATAATCCCCAACTCAACCCCAGCCCCGCCAGTGCCTACTCACTGTGCCCCTCCCTGCCCTCCTCAGGCCAGGCAGGCCCAGGGATGCGTCCAGACAAAAATGTAGGGGCTGGCACTCACCATCCGAGCTCCCCCATGGGTCAGGCGTGGGCCCTTCTCCAGCTGCAGGGGTCTGGGTCCCACCCCAAGGGTCGACTGGGGGCCCCACAGGGGCAGCAGGCCTCCAGGGGTCCCCAGAAGCCGGTGTAGGGGCCGGACCACCCCAAGGATCAGCAGCTGGCGGAACAGGAGGTCCGCCCCATGGGTCTGAGGTGGGGGCAGCCGAGGCAGTGCCCATGGGCGCTGGGCCACCCCAGGGGTCCGAGGCTGTTGGAGGAGCTGCGGCCGTGAAGACATCTGCAAGATCCATGAGGGAGGACTGCAGGGGAAGAGAGGCTGTGAGAGCGCAGGGCAGACAGGACCACAGGGAAGGAGCCGGCCAGGCTGGGGCAGTAGTCCCGGGAGGCAGCAGCCACGCTCGTTCCTAGTCTCCCTGCTCAGTCCCAAGCCAGCCCTCCATCCATGCCTCATGTCCACCATGGCCCAACAAGGACAGAGAGCAAAGCCACCCAGGGAGCCCCCACATCCCTGGGCAGCCAGGCTGATTGGCACACTCTGTTGGCCAGGGAACCCCAGGTCCCCTGAGCAGGCCTGGCTGGGACCCAGCAAATGTGGGTCACTGCACACGCCTGGCTTCCCAGAGACCACACACATACATGCACGTGCACGAGTTCCGTGTCGTGGGGAACCCAGCTGACCAGGGCCCATGTTTCTGGATGTGAGGTCCCCCCATCCTCCCCAGGGTGAAAGGGGTGGAAGGGGGCTGAGATCCTGCTGAGCTGTAAGTAGGGGCACTGTAAGACCCCCATGCCAGGCCAGCCTTGCGCCATCTACTGCCCCCTATCAGTAGGGGTCTGGTCCCCACCCTGGGAATCAGGGCAAGCCTCGCAACCTGCAGCCACCGTCTGGGAGGGTGGTTGTGCTGCGAAGACACTTGGGACACTCACGTGAACTATGTGAGCTTACAGAACAAGAGACCAAAGAACAAGACCACCTTGGACGTTTGCTGCATGCATAGAGGGCAGAGTTGCGGGAGACATGGTCCCACACTCACCTCCCCCAACACCCACCTCCACACATACTCACCTCCCCGCTACACTCACCTCCTTCAGACCATAGATCACCTCCTCTTCATACCTCCTCCCAGCCTAACACCACCACCCCACTTACTTCCCACCAGTCCCCTCCCCCACACTCACCTCCCCCTGGCCCCCTGTCTCCCGCCTGCTCTCCTCAATGGCCATCTGCAGCCTCAGGTCGTCCCCACGGCGGATCCGCTCCTCCTGTTTGGGCCACAGAGGCAGGTGGCAGGAAAGGGTCAGTCTGAGTGACTGGGCACCCGAGTACCCTCTCCCACCCAGAAGGCAACTAAAATTAAAATGGGATGCAGACGACATGTGGGATGGGGTGGGACACAGGGTCGCAGGCAGGTGTGGGGACAAGGATGGTGCTCTGACAGGCAGGGAAGCACGGGCCCGTGTGCCTGATGCTGTCTGCACTGCCGTGGGCGATGAAGGCTACGACTACAGTTGGGGAGAGGGAAGGCCCTCGCCACCAGAGCCACCACGGGCACCTACTTAACATATATGGGTGTCGTCTGAGAATCCACTTTACACAAGGTGCTAGAGCTAGAAATGCCATGGTGTGAACATATGGGAACTGCAGAGGGGCGGTGGAGTGGGGCCCTTTAGGAAGGAGTGAGGTGGCAGGGGCCTAGGGAGAGTTTCAGGGGAGCATGGGGGGGCAGAGATGCTGCTCTGACCTTATCGTGCTCCTCACGGCTCAAACTAAGGGCCAGCTGGAGCTGGACGTCATCCTCAGGGCCGCAGGACGGGGGCTGGGGAGAGAGAGTGTGAGGGGCCGGGGCAGGGGCCAGGCCAGGAGAGAGGGAAACAGACAGAGAACAGAGGTCAGACAGAGGCACACATACAAGGCGACAGTCCCCAAACCAGTGAGGGGCAGGTAGAGACAGAGCAGGGAGACAGCTTGGGCGAGGGGACTGGAGCCAGACAGGGCAGGACAAGCATCCAGGGAGAGAAAAAGGAGGAGTGTTTCCAGACAGGACAGAGACAGACAAGGTCAGCGGGCGAGCAGAGACATAAGACAGAACAGACAGAGGAACAAAGAAACAGAGCGAGCCTGAGAGAGGGGCAGGTGGAGCTGTAGGTAAGGCATGGAGATGGGATGGCAGACGGAAATAAAACCCTTCCCCACCATGTGGGCCCAGGTGGCCACAGTACCTGGTCGGCCTCCTCCTTGCTCATGGCCAAGGCCAACTGCAGTTGCAGCTCCTCCTCTCCACTGCTCTGCGGCCAGGCCTGCTCTGCCTCAGGCAGGGGCCCGGAGCCCACAGCTGCTGAGGAGGCTGCGAGGGGAGCCAGGGAGACAGTGAGACACTGAGGAAGCAGAGGGAACCCCTCAGCTTGACCACTCCCAAGACCACGCCCCCCACCCAGGACACAGACACCAGTTTCCCTAGGAGGGAGGGAGAAGAGCTGTGCACTGGGCCTACTCAGCCCCACCTGGGGCGGGGCGGGGCAGGGCAGGGCAGGGCAGAGAAGGCTCGCCCTACTGATAAAGAAGAAGGGGACTTCAGGAACCTCTAAGCCCTGAGACCTGGGTTCCTGCACCATGTGGAGCCAAGGATTCCCATGTGCTCCCAGCCTGTCACAGGGCCTCCCTCCCTGGTAAGAGCCAGGGAAAGCCCTGCATACTCTAGATGCGGAGACTAGAGATTTGGTCTCTAGGGCTGCTCAATACCTGTACCTCTCCAGGACCAAGGGATCAGGAGAGCACAGCACATGCATCCCACCCCCAACTCCATCCCACGTGAGCAGCCCGAGTCATGACCATGGAAAGGACAGAGACAGGAAAGGAAGAAGCTGGCTATCTGCAAGGGTGGAGGACGGAAGCATGGGCCAGGATGCGGCAGTGGGGGTGAGCTGAGCTGACCAGGCACCACCTGCACCCCTCCCAATGTGGCCAGGCCTCTGCTTGTGGAGAAACAAAGGCACCGGGCAGGCCTTTGGGCACCTGTCCAGGTCCCTCTCAGAGCCCCACGGCCCTCTCAGCCCCTTGCAGTGTGTCAAGAGACACGCTCCCGGCTGGCCCCACACTGTGCCCCAGGGCTGGGAGGCAGCAAACTGGGCTGCGGACACACGTGCTCTGCCTGCCCACAAGCCAAGAAAGGGTTCCCTAATTTTGAGCAGTTAGGGGGTGAAACAAAAAGTTAATAATATCTCAAAACGTGTGATCTACACGAAATTCAAATTTCAGGGTCTGGGAATAAAGCTGAAGGAGCACAAAGCCCAGAGCTCAGACAAGGGCCCAGCTGAGAGGCAGAAATGGAGCAGCCATGAAGAGAAAGCGGACACATGGGCCCTCTGGCCCCATAGAGGATGCCACGAGGCCTGCCCAAAGCCCCTCCAAAAGCACCCCATTCTCCCCTGCATGTGCGCCCTTGCATGACACGCTGTTTTCTGTGGCCCCAGACATATACAACGTCCTCGTGGATACTAGACAGTGACCGTACATGAAAGGCCCGAGCAGAACGTCCAGCCATCCCTGACATGCCAGGAACCTGGTTTGTCCTGCAGGCCCAGATGACTCTGCCTCCACATAAGGCTGCCCTGAACCTGTCCCCGTCCCAACCACTGCCTGGTAAAATGCCACTTCTCATTTCCTGGTGTCCCCCGCAGCCCACGCTCTGTGGCAAACTCCAGGCATTAACTGGATCTTTCCCTTCCTGCCTGGACCCTACAGGGCCACCCCACTGCATGCACTCCTCCATCTCTGGACTAGCTTATATGGCGAGCCCTTTTTCACACTCCAGACCCCCACACCCTGTGGGCAAAGATTCCCGACATAGACACACTGGGACCCTCTTATCTCTCTACTCCAACTTGTTCTTTCAGGTGCTAGTTGCCACCTGCCAAATGGAGCTCACTGCGCCCCATCACTTCCTAAAACTTAAAAGCAAGCTCTGCCTCTAGCCTGATGGAAGGACAGCCTCTCAGCTATCAGCATGCTTGTCCCCTCGCCAGAGGGCTGTCCCAGCCGCACAGCTTCCTCCCCTTGGGCACTGGCCACTCTTGTAAGGACCGCGGCGCACTGGCCTGGCAGCTCTAGGGCCCAGGCCGAGGGCAGGGGACACCTAGGCCTTAAGGAGGTGACTGGCTAATGTGTGTGAACATGATGACACGTCTCAGCTCCAGAGCCCCACGGCGAGAGGGAAAGGACAGAGCCAGAAGGAGCCTGTGTCAGGTGAAGAGAGAACAGTGAAAAGGGGTCGCAGCCAGGCCTTACCAGCAGCTGTCTGTGCCAGCTTCTCCTTGGTCTTGAGTGCGTGGGCACGCTCCTCCCGCAGCCGGTCCTCGTCTCGCAGCAGGGCCACCAGCTGCTTAGCTTTCTCACGCACATTCACACCCTGGTCCTTGCCGTCGCGGTCCACGTACTGGAAGTCCTTGAGCGTCTGCACAGCATACATGTTCTCCTTGCACTGCTGCGACACGCGCTCCGAGCCCGTCTTGATGAGGTACTCCATCAGCGTCATGGCCTGTGGAGCAGAATGCAGCAGGTCACCCACAAGGCCACCCACTGGGACTTCCCCGCACCAACTTAGGTGCCATCAGAGGGTGGATGAACCAGCACAGCCCATCCACACAATGGGGTATTATACAGCCCTCGAAAGGAGGAACACACAGACATGTGCCGCCACCTAGGTGGGACCTAAGCGCGCCATGCTGAGAGAGCAGCACCAGGAGCACAGCATGTGATCCACTCACATGAAGTGCCAGGACAGGCAGACCCAAGGAAAAGCAGTCATGCCAGCCGTGGGCTGGGGACACCAGGTGTCATTCTTGGTGCGCACAAAGTCTGTTGGGGTGACAAGAATAACCCAGACTGCAGTGGTGAGTGTGCCTGATACCTCTGAAGTGCCCACTTGGAAAGGGTAGATGGTACAGCCTGTGATCCACGTGCTCCTCCATGAAAGAATAGGGATGTGGCAGCTGCAGTCACCACAGGCCCACCTGGGCATCACCGGCAATGCAGACCCTGCCCATTTCTGTGATGTGCGAATCTAAAGGAGCACAGCTGGGAAACGTCAGCCACACCACGTTCACAAGGGCCACACTCTCCACAGCTCCGTCACTGTAGAGTGGGTCATCGCTTCTCGTGTGAAACCTTACCCCAACATACTGGGGAAAAGGCCTGCAGGGCCCGTCTGGGCCTGGGCTCCTGGGGCAGGACACACGGCATGCTGGAAGCTCAGGGAGGAACCAACACCCTTTGGTGGCTTCAGCATTTTATGACTTGAGAACGAATTCTCTTTCAGGCAAGTTAAAACTAAATGGGAAAAGAAAACCCAGGCAAGGCCTCTGTGGTCTTGGATCCTGGGCTCCAGGCAGGTCTGGGGAGCCAGGCGCAGGGTAATGGCCTCTTACAGACTCTGTACAAGACTGTGGAACCATCCTTGGAAGAGGGCACACTTTAGACTTTGCAGATGATTCCACAGACTCACGGAGCCCCCAAACCCACTCAGGAAACAACAGAGGGAGGGGCTGGCCATTTGGGGCAAGCTCTCTGACCCACTGTGACGTCTGCTGGGTGCCTGCTGTGGCTCACCAACACAACCCCAACCTGGATGTGCCAGCTTCTCAAAGGCGTGCTGGATATCTAGCTCCGTCATCTGCAGTTAGTCCTTAACCCGCCCTCCAGGGTTTTGCAGTCAGAGCAGAAAGGACCAGCCGCACCCACACAGAAGGTGAGCTCCAAACTCAGGTACAGCCCTGCTGCTCCCAAGCATGACAGAGCCCCCAGCCGAGGTCACACCCACAGCCACCAATGTGGGACTGACCAACACCAGATAAACAACCTTATTTCAGTCCAGGTAGGGCCCTGCCCCAAATAAACTCTGAAAACTTTCATTTTCAGAGCTCTGAGGACTTTGGAACTGTAGTTAAAGATGGTGAACCCAGAAGTAACCCAAACACCTATGGGGCGGGGGTGGGGGGTTACACACATGAGCCGCTGTGTGCTCACATGCTGGGAACACATGGATGCCTTCCTGTGCACTGACCACCCAGACAGGCCTGTGCTACATGCGTTCCTGGAACAAAGTTCCAGAACAATCTCAGACAGAAGGCAGGGCCCGGGCCTCTGGGGTACAGGAAGAGTCCTCTCTCTGGGTGGTGGCCACACAGGTGTACACACACCTTGATGGAAAATGTTTTAAAAGGGGACAACTAGACAGCCCAATGGTCCCTGTTAATTCTTAGACCAGCTCGGTTAAGGCTGTCTGGGACATCAGAGCACAAGTCTCAGTTTAAGACGGAGAAGAGTAGGCATCTCTGTGAGGCCCAGGCAGTAAGCCCAAGCTTTTCAGGGCCACAGTCCCCACCGTAGAGTGGGGGTGGCACATGGGGGGGCCTGACTGCATGTGGCAGAGCCCCGCTTACAAGGCAGGCAGGCCACCTTCAGCCTGGGCCAGAGTTCACTGACCACCCTGCGCTCCTCGGACAAGGAAATGACACGGCCAAGCCAAGAGGGGCTCTGGGGCTCCTCTCAAGTCCCACTGCATCCTGGGTACCCTGAGCCTCCTTGCGCTTCAGTCTCCAACCCAAAAAAGAGAGACAGGAAAAGCTCCGCCACTGTGCTCTGCCCACAAACACACTCCCCCAGCCACCCATCAGGAAGGACCTGCCATCCAGGGCCCTCAGGACTCACCTGACTCATGCACCCAATTCTCCAGCTCTGAGCTACTCTCCGGGTGTTAGCCCAGCAGGCTCTGTCCCTTCGGTCACCTCCACAAAAAAGCTTGCCTAGAAACGACGAGTCCATCAAGTCGCTGACCCAATCTGGGTTTGTTGGGGTACACAGGGAACGCCAGGACACAGCCTTGTATCTCTGCTGACTATGAGCAAGGCCACCCCTCCAGGCCCAGTCTGCTCATCTTGGAGACAAAGGAACCAACACAGCCTCTACAGGAGAGAGGCCGCCAGTGTGGGCCCCAGGATGGGTCCCCAAGGCCAGTGCCTCCCCACCACGCCCACCAGCACACACAGCTCAGGCCCTCAAGCTGACTTCTACTGACGAGTCAGCCACAGAGGCCCCGCCAACACTCCTGAGCTAGACATACTAACCTGGCATGGGGCCCAATCCTCACAGAAAGGGAGGTCCAGGGACTGGTCCAAGGTCACACTGCTGGGAGTAGGGTCTGGCCACCTGCGCTAGCCCATGCCCTTGGCCACTTCCTGACCAGAGGAGGGGATGCCAGGCCCCCAAAGCAGAGGTCAAATGGGAACCTGGCCACTGAGTGCCGACTGCAGATTCGTTCCCTGTGCCCAGAGCCCGAAGTTTGTCTCTCTGGACCCTGGATTAGGGTGTGTGCATTTGTCACTATGGGTGAATAAATGGGCCACTTTTGTGGAGGTCACATTATCAAAATGATACATGCATGGATCCTTCAACTCAGAAATTCCAGTTTTAGAGGATACGAGGATATTCGCGGCAGCCATGGTTGTAAAAGCGTTCCAATTCACTTAAAAATCCATCACCGAATAGCTGGTTACATCAATTATAACCCACCCTACACAAGAGACTGTTATACCTTTGCAAAAAAAAGAGAAAAGTAACCAAACTTTCATGTCTTGATGGGATACGACCTCTAGAATTTAGCTTCCTTTTCTTACTTAAAAGTGGGATATAACTGACATAGTAGAACCCACTCTCAACGTATATAGTCCTGAGTTGTGACACTGCATACAGCCCAGGAACCACCTGCATTTAAGGTCCATGGCCCCAAAAGTCCCCGGTGCCACCCATTAGCCTGGACGTGCACACACAGATGGCCCTGGAAGACAAACTGGGGACACAGCTGCCCCGAGGGAGGAAACTGGGCACCTGCTTAGGCCTTCCAGGGGGGTGTACCCTATGAAAGTGCCACTTCTTCAAAATCGGTTTAAATCATCAGGTTCAAAACCCTAATACTTTATATGCGTGGCCTCTGTTAAACAAGAGAAACCATACAGAAAGGCGCAGGCGCCTCTGGAAAACCAGAAGGGTGGTGGCAGCCCAGGTGGCACCAGCCTGCCCGTGCCTGCCCACCAACCTTATAGACGTGTCGCCAGTTCTTGCCGTGGTCGTTGAGCCGCTTCCAGATCATGCTCATGATCTCTGAGAAAGCGACAACATTGTAGGTAAGGTCGGCGATCTCGGACATGAGTGAGCTGGACGGGCCCCAGGGGTCGTTGCTTGTGGCCTCGCGGACCTTGATCTCAGCCTCTGAGTAGTTGTGGACGATGTTCTTCATCTGGCGCCGCAGAGAGGAGGTTGACATGGTGGCCAGTGGAGGTGCAGGGACTGTGCCCCTGGGATGTGGGCAGAGGGGCCAACTTGAGTAGGGAGACCACAGCAGGAACTGGCAGGTCACCACATCTGAGAATAGGAGAGGTCCTTGGAAACACAAGGGGCACCTGGGGCCACCCAGCCCAAACCCCTATAGGTACAGGCCCCCCACTGCATGACAGATTGAGGATGCCGTGACCTAGAAAGCTCTAGCCCTTGTCAACCTCCATCTTAGTCATCCTGTCCAGTTCGGTTCCTCAATTGTACCCAGCTCCTTCCTGCTTGGGCCCCTGCTCAGCGAGGCAGAGTGTGCAGTGACAGATCATGGGCCCTGGGGGCACACCCCAGCCAGCACTTCCTGGTCCAGCCGCCTGGGCAGGCTGACAACTCATGCACCTCAGTTTCCTCTTCTGTAAAGTGGGCCTCCGTTCAGTAACCCAGAAAACTGAGAGTCAGGGCACAGGAAGTACTGTGTCCGGACTGGGTCACCTACTCTTCCACTCCCTCACCAGGTCACTTCCACTTGCCCCGAGGGCACCACTTAAGCTTCCTGAATCCCAAGGTCCCCATTCCCAGGGGCCTCCTGGATAGACCATCGCCTAGTGATATGACACTCATTTGTCTGATTCTGTGGCTAAGGCTGACACCACCAGGCCCATGGGGAGCAGAGACCGTGTGTGTCTGGACACGGCTTTTCTCATCAGAAGCACTGGCCCCAAAGAGCTATTCAATAAACTGGAAGGGAAGGAGCAAGGGTGGAAGGAGCAGAACCCAAGAATGAAACAAGGACACACAGAAAAGAGGAGACAAGGGAGTACAGCGATGGGGGAGGGGAGCCAGGAACAAGAGTCCCAAGGGTGAGGAGGAGAGAGGCCCAAGCGAGAAGAGATAAGGAACAGCACAGCTGCAAGCTGCTTCCCAGGTGCTTGCCTGGGGCTGCCTGAGTGCTATTTCATTTAACACTGCCCAAGGTGTTTCTCACAGGGAAGCAGGTCCTGGGAGGTTGAGTAATTCACCCAAGGTCATCACTATGCCTAGCAGCACAGGCGTAACCCCAGGCTCCCCTGGACTCCAAAATTTATGGTTTTCAATTGACCTTTGCCTAAAGAAGAGTGACAGGGAAAGAAACAGAAGGGCAGGAATCAGTTAAGTGATGACAACTGCAGAAATCATGTAGCCCTGACCCTGCACCAGTACTATACTTGTAGCAACTGAATTAATCCTCACAAGTCCATGACCCACGGCCACCTCACTGGGGAGGAAATGAGGCACAGAAAGGCTAACTCCCTTGCCCCAGGACACATGCCTCACTCCCAGAGCAGCCTGGTTCCAGGGCAAGCTCTGACCACCAGTCCCAGCCTCTCCAACAACCACTGCCAGAGATCTCCTGAGCCCTCTCACAACCTGAATCCTGGGGCCAGTGGCTAGCCCCTGCCTTGAACTCAAGCTGGAGGACCAGGCGCTGGGAGACAACTGAAAAGAGAAGGCCAGACAACCAAGACAGGCCTAGCTAGACACACTAAGACAAAGAAATGATGTGACACACACAGAGGAGAGTGAGAAGATTGGGAATGAGAGAGACAAGGAAAGAGAGAAGCATAGAGAAAGCCAGGCAGCGGAGCAACCCAGAGACGTGGTGAGACAGACAAGGATGCAGCCAGAAACTGAGAGAAATGTGGATAGATAGCGAGGCAGAAAGATAAAGAGAAAAAGCCTTGAAATAAAAAGAGGCAGTAACTGGACTGAGAAAGAAAAAACTGGGAAATAACGAAAAGAACACCCAATCTTGGCCATCAGCTCGCAGCACAGCAAGCTCCACTCCCAAACAAAGGGGAGAACTCCTACCTGGTAGGCTCGCTGGTGGAACAGGATGGGCACATTAAGTGCTTGGCCCCAAGCCCCACTGATAGTAGGCACTCAATAACATTGGCTGCCACTATTATCAGAGGACAAGCAGAATGTTTCCAAAGGAGTGTCATCAGAAGATGTACTGTCTTAATACTGTGTGCATTAGAAAAATACACAACTAGCTCCCCAACGCTAAGATTTCACAAATGCTGCCTAAAATGAGACTAAGCTTTTCAAAATAAGTTGATTCAAGAGAATTGTTAGATGAAACAGAGAACAAATGTTACGGCAAAATTCTCCAAGGAGCACTCAAATGACCAATATCGAACATTTGTGGAAGTGAACATATATTAATGGTGGAAACCAGAGCTCCTAGTTGTTACACATCTTCCACTGGCCAGTATGGGGCACTTTACAAGTATCACCTCCGTCAAAACGCACAGTGGCCCTATGAGCAGGAACAACGAACGTCCTAATTTTAAAGGCTAGGACACTGAGGTCTGGCGAAAAGTCACCTGACAGGTATCACAGGCTAGCAAGCAGTGGGCCTCTGGTTGGAGACCCAGGCTATTCACCCACCACCAGACTCGGGAGCCTGGAGGAGCAGATCCTAGACTAAGCACAGACCGCGGAGAGGGGCTCGGGGTGGAAGAGGGGACAGGAGGGAAAGGAGATGGGAAAACTGCGGCAGAGGGAAGCGCCAGAAGCAGAGAGTGGAGGCACCTGGCACTGAAGACTCACAAGCTCGGAGAGAGACGCGAACATTGATCTTGACCGTCAGACGCGGGACGCGGCGGCGCGCAGAAGCAGATCGAGACCCAGGACAGACACACGCGGACAAGGCTTTGTACAAACAGCAGAATGGACACTAGCACGGGTTAGGCCCAGGCGCATCCCGCGGGAGACGGAGGCGCTCCCAGAGACAGACGCCAGAGACCGAGAGACGCGGGCAGTCACGGCCGACGGGGGCATAGACGCGACGGCCACGGAGACGATCGGGGGCCAGCAGACGCCGGAACGCTGGGCCCCGCGCTCACCTCGGCTCCCTCACACCGGGCACCGGGGGGTCATGGGGGGCAGCCCCCTGCCCCCGCTCGACCTCGGTGTCACGGGGCGCGCGGAGAGCCGCGGGCGGCAGACACTGAGGCGCGTTCGGGCGCACAGGCGGAAGCACGGAGAGCCGCACGACGACAGCCCTGCCGCCCCGGCGCCCAGGAGGGGCGCGGACAGCCGGGCGGGGGAGATGAGCCGCCGAGAGGACGGGAAGCAACCGAAAGAAGCGACGGACCGGAAGCGGAAGTGGCTGCAAGCCCCTCCCGGCCCTGATTGCGGAGCCCGCGCAGCACACTTCCGCAGACCAGTCCACAGGTCTGCGTCACTTCCGGATCGTAAGCCGCTTCCCTTACTTCCGCTCGCTGCCGCAAAGGCTCAGGGAGAACGCCGAGTTGTTCCCAGCCCGCCCC